ATAATTCTGATGTTGGTTCGCTTGAAATTGTCCCAGAGGTTTCTTACACTATCTTCAACTTTCTGGATTCTCTTATCTTCTCCCTTCTGCAGAGGAGTGTCCTCTGGCTCTTCGTGTTCTAAATCTTTGTCTTGATTCTTGCGATCTTCCAGTCTGTTTTTAGGACTTTGTATAATATTTTTTATTTCAGACAATGTTTTCTTCATTTCTTGTTGATCCCTTATTATTTCTAGTTGCTCCCTTTTCATATCCTCATAGGTCTCATTTATTTTATCGGCCTTTTTTAGGATATTGTTGAATAACCTTATAACTGTAGTTTTGAACTCAATGTCCAATCTTTTCTTTTCCTCCATCTCCTTCCTTTGTGTCCTTCTTCTTGTCTGCATTTTAGTTGTTTCCCTGATTTGATGGAATAGCTTTATGTGCTAGGTGTTCTGGTAGAGCCCAGTAGCACAGCCTTCCCAGTACCTGCGGTGGACAGTCTTGGTGTAGCCCTTTGTGGGCTGTGTGTGCAGTCTTGTTATTAAGCCTTGCTTATTGTTGGTATCACTGGGAAGCGTTGATCTCCAAGCCAATTGGCTGTGAGGATCAGCAGTGTCTCAACTAGGAGGGTTTCCGTACTCTGCTTGAATAGGGCGGGGTCTCGGGGTGGCGCAGACAATCTTTGGTTCCCTGTCAGTCTCGCCTTAGAAAAGTCCTGTTCGTGGAGAGTTTTAGAAGATTGGTTGCAGGCGCACACGCACCTCTTTGGTAAAGGCGCAGACAAGCTTTGGATTCCTGCAAGTCCCTCCTTAGAGAAAGCCAGCCTCTGAGAGAGCTTCTGTGCTCAGCCACAGGTAGGGCGGAGTCTCGGGTTGGTGCAGACAAACTTTGTTTTCCCTTCGGCTCCTCCCCAAGTCCCGCAGTAATGGCCTCTGGCTTCACACACCTCCAAGAGATCTCTGCCCACTGCCTGACAGTCTGGCCTCTCCCTGTCTGGGGCCATTTATCAGAGCAATAGGCTGATTCTGTTTTCCTCTCGGACAAGAAAGCCAGCTGCGTTAGCTGTTCGCCCTCTCCGCGCCAGGAGTAAGCCCGTAGCGAACTCAGCCCGGCCCGCCCTCTCTGCGTGCAGGGAGTAAGCCAGCAGCAATCTCGGTCCGGCCCTTCCTCTCTGCACCGGGATTAAGCCAGCGCCTTTTCGCACACACAGTTCTCCGTACTTTCACAGTTCCTGAGGTTCAGCGTGCCTTCTCTCTCCTTCCCAGATGGCAGAGCCTCCTCTCAGCCAGCCGTCTGGCGCTTCAGGGCAATGCCTCCCCTGTTTTTCAGTTCTAAATTCAAATTTGTTGTGGTAGGCTGCATTCGGGTGTCTGCCCTATGCCGCCATCATGGTTTCTCCTCCATTTGAGTTTATTCTTGTGTATGGTGTAAGTTGGTGGTCTAGTTTCGTTTTTTTGTATATATCTGTCCAATTTTCCCAACATCATTTCTTAAAGAGACTCTTGACTCTATTGTATGCTCTTGCCTCATTTGTCAAATACTAATTGAGCGTAATGGCTTGGGTCAATTTCTGATCTATTCCATTCATCTATACGCATGTTCTTGTGCCAGTAACTGGCTGTTTTGATTATAGTGGCTTTGTAGTATAACTTGAAATCTGGTATTGTGATTCCTACAACTTTTTCTCTCTCAAAATTGCTGCAGCTATTCAGGGTCTTTTTTGATTCCATACAAATATTTGGAGTATTTGTTCTAGCTCTGTGAAATATTTCATTGGTATTTTAATAGGGATTGCACTGAGTCTATGGATTGCCTTGGGTAGTATGGACACTTTAATGATATGTCATTAATTTTTGATAACTTGAATACGAAGTGCTTTGGAGAGGGCCTCTTTGGACTGAGGTAACTAAGTGTTCTGTTTCTTCTGGGATTCAAAATCTACTTCTTCCAAGAGATTTGGGAAGTTCTCACACACTATTTGTTTAAATAGACTTTCCATTCCATGCTCCCCCTCCTCCTTCTCTGGAATGCCTATCTTATATAATAAAAGGCTAATATGTAAATTGTCCCCTCGGGAGTTCAACCGCTTGCTATGACATGTGCTGACCAACAGGATGGCGCTAAACATGGTGGGTGATCAGCAATGGCAGTGGGATGCTGAGGGAGCAAGGGAAGAAGGAGATGGGAAGGCGGGGAATCTGATCGGCACTGATCACAGGCCAGACCTAGCGGCACAAATTTCATGCACTGGGTCTCTAATAATTCTAATATTGCTTTTTCTGATGAAGTCAGATAGTTCTTGTAGAGCTTTCATTTTTCTTTATGCTCAGATCTCTCTTTTCCCCTCTTAGTGGTTTCTAGATTCCTGTCTTAGATATCACTAATTCTTTGCTCCATCTGGTTGGCTCTGTTTTCTACGCTAACTAGTTCACTTTTTTTTAAAATCTTCATCCACGGATATTTTTCCATTGATTTTCAGAGAGAGTGGAAGGAGAGGGAGAGACACAGAGAGAGAAACATCTAGGTGAGGGAGACACTGGTTGCCTCCTGCATGTGCCCCAAGTGGAGCCAGGAATCGCACCTGCAACCAAGCTATTTACCCTTTACTGGAATCAAACCTGGGACTCTTCAGTCAGTGGGCTGACGCTCTATCCATTGAGCAAACCAGATGGGGCAGTAGTTCTCTTTTTTTTTTTTTTTTTTTTTTTTTTAATATACTTTATTGATTTTTGTTTTACAGAGAGGAAGGGAGAGAGATAGAGAGCTAGAAACATCGATGAGAGAGAAACATTGACCAGCTGCCTCTTGCACACCCTCACCGGGGATGAGCCCACAACCAATGTACATGCCCCTAACCAGAATCGAACCTGGGACCTTTCAGTCCACAGACCGACACTCTATCCACTGAGCCAAACTGGTTTCGGCAGTAGTTCACTCTTGATCTCCTTAACATCATGCTTCATTTTCAGGATTTCTGATTGGTTCTTTTTTCAAAGTTCTAATCACTTAGGTAAAATACTTGTTTTATTCATTCGTTTTCTGAGTGCACTGAGTTACCTGTCTATATTCTCTTGCAGCTTGTTAGTATTTTCAGAACTGCAATCTTGAAATATCTTGTCATTTATATCATATACTAGAGGACCAATGCACAAAATTCGTGCAGTAGGGGGGAGGGGGATCACTCAGTCTAGCCTGCACCCTGTCCAATCAGAGGGTCCAACTATCTGTTTAGGCCTAATCCCTCTCACAATCCGGGACCATTGGCTTCTAACATCTCGCCTGCCTGGTGCCTGATTGCCCCTAACCCTTCTGTCTGCCTACCTGATCTCCCCTAACTTCTCCCCTGTCGGCCTGATAGCCCCTAACTGCTCCCCTGCCAGCCTGATTGTTCCTAAACACCTCTGTCTCAGCCCCCACACCCGGGACCCATGCTGACTGCACCCAGGCCAGCCGCAGGTGCGCGGGACCTCAGGCGGCTTTACCTGGGCCCTGCTTTGTCAAGAAGAACATCCAGAAGTTCGTCTGGAAGAAATCCGGTCTAATTAGCATATTACCCTTTTATTAGTATAGATTTCCAAGTGTTCAACCTTTCTTTCTGGAGAGTTTTCATTTTCTTTCCGGTTATCCTCATTACTGTGGTTATTCATGGTATTTGATGTACTCTTTTGCCTATTAGTATGTAGTATTTATCTCTAAAGAGTCCTTTCTACTATTTTCCAGTAGATGGCACTGAATTGCAAGATTGTTTACTTTTGTGATCTCCCAGTGTTGAACCTTCATGGCTTCCATAAAAGAGTACAGCTGAGCATCTTGGGGGTTTGTTTTACTCTCACCGTAAAGGCGATTCCTGACCTCCATGGGTCCTGCCCCAAGTACCCCTTCTGGAGATCAGTCAGGAGACAGTGGTTCCACTGCAATAGCTCTTGGTTTATACGTAATATGCTCCTGGACCCAACTCCAAAGGCAATGGGTATTGAGCTTTGGAAGTCCAAATACAAGAGGGCTGTGTGGTTCATTTCTTTGTATGAAACACCATCAGCCTGAACGTGGAAGCTGCATGGCAGAACCCTGTCAGGTATCTGCTAATTCAGACACTATTAATTCCCCTGCCACTAGGCCTGCTGGGCTGACTCTCTACCCCCCGAAGCTCTCTGTTCCTCCGGCTGAAGGAAACGTCTGCTACCACAGGCTTTCTCCCTTCTCCTGGCCAGCCAAACTATAAGCTCCTCAGTGCAAGGCTGTCTAAGGGCTGTCTGCACTTTCCTCCCTTCTCCTCTCCCATTTATTCCTGGTTGTTAACGTTTAGATGTTCCAATGTGCATGTCTCTCCAGCATGTGTCTATGTTGAGCAGGGATTTTTTTGTTGAATTATAGTTGGTCAACTTCAAGGGAAGAGGACAGGGGCTCTCTCATACCCCCATTGCTCTGCTGTCACTCACAAAATAATATTTTAAAATTTATAAACAATTCCCAGGATGAGTCAGTTGGCAGTAGATCTTTTTACTGTGAAAATTATCCAATCCAGAATTTGTAGAATTTCCTCTTAGAATTCTAAGATAACACAGTATTGATAGACTAAATTAACACAGCAAAAAGCACGTAGATGCCTGCCAAGGCTATCTCCTTGTCAGTTCTTTGGAAATAGGGAGGGAAGGACTAATTAGGACCAGATTTGGGGATTAGTGAGAAAGCTAACAAGTATAAGCTAAAAACCCTTCAAAACCAAATTTTACATAGCCCACACTTACGTTCTATCTATAATAGCTCCTCTATGACAAACAATTCCCTATTGGATAAATATTATCCACAATCATCATAAAATTATCTTTTACGTGACAAAAATATGACAAAAATTCTAAAGAGTTAAATCAAGGACCTGGATGTTAAAAAACTATCAAAAAAACTTACAATGTGGTTGTTGGAAACATCATTAAAAAAAACCTTCATATAGATTAAAATAAGTACCAAGATGTAAATTTGCAGAGAAGATAAGAGGCAAGAAATGTAAAGGCTCATACCTGCAGTGTACAATTCTCTTTTCGTTTGAGGAATTCCACAAACCTGGCCACTACTCCTGGTGTGCTGATGACTTCATCGATAGGAGGATTAGGTTCTGTCTCACCATAAAATAAAAAGAAAGAAGAAAATTAATTCTTTGATTTCAAAGCAAAGACTTTATAGATAAAAATTCCCTCCCTATATTTTAGCATCTCTTTCACGTTGGAAATCTCAAAAAGAAAAACAATGTAAAATGAGTTCAGTCACTTTGAGACTGCAGCAGCTTGAAAGATTTCACATTAAGTAAGTCTTAACATGAAAATGATAGGCAGAATTCTTAAAAATTAAAATTACTACCTCTAGTATTTTAGAAAATAGAGGAAAAACCATTCAAAGATAACCACTGTTATTATTTTGGTATATTTTCTTCTAGTCCTTTCTTTGTGTATGGGTTTATTATTCGTCTTTTTCATTTAATACTGGAGGCCTGGTGCACGAAATTCATACATGGGTAGGGTCCCTAGCCTGGCTGGCAATCAGGGCCGATTGGGGCCTCCCTTCCCCAGTTGCTGGCAGCTAGCCAGGGCCTTCCTGCACCATGCCCTGGTGGTCAGCGCACCTTACAGCGAGTGATTAAACTCTCAGGGGGACACTTTGCATATTAACCTTTTATAGATAGATAGATAGACAGACAGACAGATAGATAAGCTATCTTAAGAAACTGGATCAGGGGAGCATTTGAGATCTTGCTTCCTGGCACTTGTCATCAGTTTGAAAATGGAAAGAAATGGGATTAGGACATTCTGAGTGTGCTTGCAGAACTTAATTTTGCAGCTGGTAAGTTGTTAAGTAGAAATCAGAGCAAGAATGCACTAAGGATGACTGCCAATTTAATCTCATTTTCATTTATAACAAGAGTAGCTTATAAATGAAGTCAGTAGAAACTTGGATGAATAAATAGGAAATGTCCTAAATAATCAGCATAATAATTTCAGCAAGAGATTTTACAAAATTTTTTATGAGATTTATGTAGCAATGCAAGAAAAATGGCAACTGGATTACAGTACTACTACAAATTCTTAGCCAAGTCAATGACTTTACTGAAAGAGCTGATTAATGGTTCAATGATAATTTGGAGAGAATTCTAATGGCATGTTTTTTGCCTGACATTTTTACCAAGCATTCAGATAAACACAACAAATAAATTTGATATTATAATAAAGACTAAGTAGTTAATATGCTAGATTACAAAAACAACATATAGAAAGAACGTTAAGCCAAAGTTGGCAATATAGCAACAGGGGTAAAGCAAAACTCAGCAACAGAGTTTTTAAAAAAATTATAACAATAACAATCCACATGACTTCACTTGAAAACAGTTCATATAGAAAAGTACTAGGGAGTTTAGAATGCTGCAAATAAAATGAAACATTACTGTACCATGATTACTGACATTTTTGAAATTTTTCTTAAAAAAGAGTGGAGTTTCTCAATATGAATTAATATAAAATATTAACTACTGTTCTTACCACTTCAAGGTCTTTTTTAAGATAGCTCAGAAATAAAAATAATGCTGCTTTCTGGTCCTGATAAGATCACACAAATAAACAAGGAAATCCAAAAGTTAGCTACGCCTCAGCGTTATACATATTTCTGTATGCATCCTTTTATTCTGTTGATAGACAAACTCCAAAGCAAGTTATCTGTGGTGTGAACAATAGGTTATGGGAAAGTGATATTTTATAAATAAATATTATATGTAACACCAGCGGACTGGTAGACAGGATTCATGCACTGATCGGGGGCATGGCCTACGGGGAGCGACCTGCTGTGGGAGCACAGCTCAACCTGGTCAGCCAAGCAGCAGTGGACCTGCCCTTTGGTGGCTGCTCCCGCTGTGGGAGCACATTGACCACCAGGGGGCAGCTCCTGCATTGATTGTCTGCCCCATGGTGGTCACTGCACTTCATAGCGAGTGGTCCAGCAGTTGTTCTGATCATTCCGCCGTTAGGTCTCTGGGCTTTTATTATTTAGGATATTCAGAACTCACCTTTTGAAAGCAGTTTTCTGAATTTCTGTGTAGCTGAAAGTTGCTGTTCTGGGCTATTGGAAAATATCATTTCAATCATGTCAGAAGTAATAACACCACCCTGGGATCGCAAACAAAAAACAAATGTAAGGAAATTTTAACTTTAATTCAAAGATAAAGATAGTATACATTGTAGTAATGTTACTAAGTTAATCATATTTATCTAGAAGTTACACTACGGGAGGGCAATCTTTACATGTAAAAAATGAGGTGATTAATAATGTGAAGTCAGTATCTATCATTAAAAAGCTCATGACAGTGAGAAAGCAGTCATCTTAGTAGTAAATACTAAGACAAGATTTTTTTTTTTAATTCTTTCTCTCATTGCTCATCAAAGAGTTAGCTATTCCTTGTAACTCAGATTAAATGTTAAATTCTAAAGGAAGGCTTTTCATGACATACAAATTTAAAGGATCCACTCCATGTCTATCCTATCCCTCTATTTTAATCCTGGGTACAGCCCTTTTCACTATCAGATATATATTTTTCTTAGTTATTTGTTTACTGCCCAGGTTTCCTCGGTACACTGTAAGCTCCTTGAAAGCCAAAGATTCTGTCTATCTTACCACTCTATCACTGATAGCTGGCATACAGTAGATGCTCAACAAATATTTATTGAATGAGTAGAATCATCCAATATAAAATACAGATTCTAGCCACTGCTAAATTCAACAGCTGATTTAAATTTATTTAAATTTTATATTTTCTTGCTTTATTAAAACTTTTCAGAAAGTCAAGCTGTTCTCTGTTTTTTAAGTGGATGTTAAATGAATGTGAAGTATTTTGTGGACTGTATTAGAGTTCTATAGACGAAACCTCACATTTTCATCAGAGAAACACTAAAAAGAGTTTATCATCTTACTTACTGGTGCCATTTCCATATTATTAATCTGAGCCTCATGGAAGCCTCCATCCGACATAACTTCCTCTTCTGTTTCTTCTTCTGCAGTAGCAACATTTCTTCGCTTGAATAACTGAAAAATAAAATATTGTTACTAAAGTAATTTTAACACAAGGGAGTTCGACAGCCAAACACTAGTCACCCCAGTTAAAAGGTAATAAGGATGGAGATTTTGAAAATTATTTAAAAAATTCGAAAGTCTGTGCCACTTTCAACCTTTCCTGATGAAACTATTTCAGAATTCTCCAGTTTTATAATACACTGCAATTAACTACCACTTGATGAGTAAAACTTACTGAGAGGTCTCACACTTGCATGACATATAAAAAGGTAAGGTTGGAAAATGGAGCTGGGGCATGCTTGGCCATTTCCTGAGAGATCAACACAGAACTCCAAAAACCTGCAGAAAGTATTCTTTGAATCTTTAGCTTAATATTGATCATTGCAGGTGTGTGAGGAAAAGATCCAAAGTTAAAAAATGAACCACTTCCAACGAACATGCAGAACAATTTCAGAGGTCACAGAGATCAAGGGATAGTTTATGTTCTGACAAACTGGAATAGAAAAAACTTCTAATATATGGGGCATTGAGAGAAGTCGCAGTATTGATTTAGCTGTGATGCTAAATTAGCCCTGAATTAAAGGCTGTTCTGGTCCAGCCTGCTCAAAGTTTTTTGCAAACTGCTTCCAAGCAAATTAACTACATCCAATGACAATGTCAGAATTATATACATTATGGGGAGATAAAATTATACTTATTAAAAAGTATATTAAAAAAAAAACTCCAACATCAAATGAGATCAAAGTCACAATGCTTGGCACTCAATTAATAATCACCAAGCATGCAAAAGTAGATGACTACCGCCGAGGCCGGTTTGGCTCAGTGGATAGAGCGTCGGCTTGCGGACTGAAAGGTCCCGGGTTTGATTCCGGTCAAGGGCATGTACCTTGGTTGCGAGCATATCCCCAGTAGGGGGTGTGCAAGAGGCAGCTGATCGATGACTCTCTCGCATCGATATTTCTAGCTCTCTATCCCTCTCTCTTCCTCTCTGTAAAAAATCAATAAAATATATTAAAAAAAAAAAAAAAAGTAGATGACTACCAATGAAGAAGAAAAAAACCCATCAAAATCACCTAGAAATGATAAAGATGGCAAACTGGACCAGGACATTAAAATAGTTTTCATAAATAAATCTACAATATTCAAAAAGTAGAGTAAAACATAAACATGAGAAGGAGAGATTGGAAAACACCTACACACAAAAGCAAATCAAATACTTAAGAGATGAAAAATTTTTCAGGTGAAAAGTATGCTGGGTGGATTTACAGCAGATTAGATATTATAGAAAAAAAAGATTAGCGGGCCAAAGCTGGTTTGGCTCAATGGTAGAGCGTCGGTCTGTGGACTGAAGGGTCCCAGGTTCGATTCCGGTCAAGGGCATGTGCCTTGGTTGCGGGCACATCCCCGGTGGGGGGTGTGCAGGAGGCAGCTGGTCGATGTTTCTCTCTCATCGATGTTTCTAGCTCTCTATCTCTCTCTCCCTTCCTCTCTGTAAAAAATCAATAAAATATATATTAAAAAAAAAAAGATTAGTGGATTTATGGACATTGCAATAGAAGCAATCCAAAAGAATAAAGAAAAAGACTGAAAAAAATATGTACAGAACATAAAAATATTTCTGTGGGACAAGGAATATATTTAAACAGACTTCATTAAAGTGGATATACAGATGGCATATACGCCCGTGAAAAAATACATTCAACTGTAGTCATTAGAAAAATGCAAACTAAAAATATAACGACATACTATTACACACACCTTGGAAAACGACTGACCATATCAAATGTTGACAAGGAAATGAAACTCCATACATTACTAATAGGTAGGTCAAATGGTACAACCCATTTTGGCCATCAGTTGACAGTTTCTTAACTATACAACTATAATACTAAACAATCCAGCCATTCTGTTCCTAGCTATTTATCCCAGAGAAAGGAAAATATGCATCTATAAGAGCCAGCTATAAATGCTTATAGAAGCTTTATTTGCAATCACCAAAACCCAGGAATGCTCCCAATTACCATCAACAAGTGAATGGATAAACCAACTGATACATACACAGCATAAGTATACCTCAAAATTATTAAGCTAAAAGAAGGCAGACAAAAAAATACATGTTGTATGATTCCATTTATGTAAACTAATCAGTGGTGACATAAATTGCTTAGAAACAGGAAAGGGTACTACAAAGGTATAGCAGAAAATTTTGAAAGAAATAGTTTCATTATATTTTCTTTTTTAAATATGTTTTTATTCATTTTTAGAAAGAAGAAGAAAAAAGGATAGAGAGAAAAAAAATCAATGGTTGCCACCTGCATACCCCTTACTGGTGATCAAGCCCACAATCTGAACATATTCCCTGACCTGGAATAGAACCAGTAACCACTTGGGTCATGGGTTGATGCTCACACCAGCCAGGCAATAGGTTTACTATCTTAATTACATTAGTAGTTTCAAATAATATATCAAAACACCAAACAATACACTTTATTATTCCCCCGAGGTGGAGGTTGCGGTCAATCGCCTGGTCAATCTGCACCTGCGGGCCTCCTACACCTACTTCGCTCTAGGCTACTATTTCAACCGTGATGCTGTGGCTCTGGAGGGTGTGGGCCACTTCTTCCGAGAGTTGGCAGAGAAGAAGCACGAGGGCACGGAGCATTTGTTAAAGTTGCAAAACAAGCAAGGCAGCTGAGGTCTCTCTCAGGATGTGCAGAAACCTTCCCAGGATGACTGGTCCAAAACTCAGGATGCCTTGGAAGCCGCCCTGGCCTTGGAGAAGAGCCTGAACCAGGCCCTTTTGGAGCTGCATGCCCTGGTTTCTACCCGTGCAGACCATCATGTATGCGACTTCCTGGAGAACCACTTCCTGGATGAGGAGGTGAAACTGATCAAGAAGATGGGCGACCACCTGACTAACATCCGCAGGCTGGTTGCCACCAGGCTGGGCTGGGCGAGTACCTCTTCGAAAGGCTCACTCTCAAGCACGACTAGGAGCCTTTGGAGCCCAGAAACCTTTCAGAACCCCCCGCTGCCCCCTCCCCCCCATTCCCCTGGTGTCTCTGGCTTTTACTTGAGCTTCTTCCCGAAACTACTGGCCATTCTTTTAACCACCCTGGAGCCCTCTCCCCTACATCAGACCAAAAGAAACAACAAAGCTTTTGGCCGAAAACAAACAAACAAACAAACAAATGTACAGAAAATCTTAAGTTGCAACTTTAGAAAAACAAAATACACTAAAAACAAATAGGTCAAAGTATTTAACAGTGGTAATAGTAGAAAAATGGGAACAGGAGAGATTTCTTCACTCTTGTATTTCACTTTTTCTCCCCACCACCAAAACATGTTGATTTTACAGTGTGTCTGTGGGATATATATGTGAAAATAAGACGGTGTCTTATATTAATTTTTGCTCCCAAAGATGCGCTAGGTCTTATCAGGGGATGTCTTATTTTTCCAAAAGAAGAATACAGTACACATTTATTGTTAAATGAAAACAAAGGAAATTTATTACCTGTATACGGTAAGGTAGTACAGTAGTTGTCAACACAAACCAGACAAACTGTGAATCCTACAGTATCAAGAATTTACTCACTTATTCAATGACAATCATGTCATCATCTTCTGGAACATCATCATAACAATCCATTTCCTGAATTTCCTGGTGAATTTCTTGTGACTCCATTTCTTTCAGAACCAGTAGACCAAATCTCTCATGTTTAGCAATAGCACTGTCTTTAAATGAGTACTTCTTGTCAAGGTAGCCTGCTCGCAGTGCATTTGCAATGCAACTGTCAGTAATTTTCTCCCATGAATTCTTCACCCAAGTCACAACTTCTTGCAGTTTAGGTTTCACAGTTTCCAGGCTGACTTCTCTCCATTCTATTTTCAATGTAGTCATTAATTTCCATGTGCAAATTGTCTTTGAATGGCTTGCTTACTGCAATATCAAGAGTCTGAAGATAGGCCGTCATTCCTGCGGGAATCATTATCTGATCTATTTTTCTTTCGTGAAGAAATGTCTTCATGTCTTTAGCGTAGTGAGTGCTTCCTGCATCCCAGACTAGCAGACCTCTTTGACTCCCTCGCATAACAAGCGGCAGCATTAAATCAACCCACTTTCTTATAACTGCTTGTGTGGCCCAGGTTTTTTCAGTTTCAAGAATAAAAACGCCCAAAACACGTTCAATCTTATCCTTCTTGCCCTTAGAAATGATTAAAAGTGGGATTTTAGTGCCATCCAAAAGAATTGCCAAAATATAGGAAACACGTGCACTTTTCTAAGCAGTGGAGGGGATGTACACTAAGGAGGCACCCCGCTGTTCAATTGTTGTTTGAGATGATTGGCCCATAAACACTGCAGTTTCATCCATAGCAATCATGTTGGAAAGATTGTATTTAGAGAAGTTGGCATCATCAATAAAGGACTTGAATGCGAGTGCTCACTTAATAACTTGAGTATCTTCCAACCTAAACAATGTTGTAGATCTTCTTAAAGACAGTTCACTTCACTGAAGGAAATTATCCAGCCAGTGTTGTGATGCTTTGAAGTCTTCGGGGGCTATGTCAAACTGTGGTGCCATTGCAAGGGCAAATTCTTGAACCTGAGCCCTATTCACAAGCAAAGCCTTTGCTCTCCTGTCAACAACCCATTCACAGATCAGGTCTTCCAGCTCGGAAAATAATGGTTGCCGACCTGATCCACACTTGTGCTTTTTAGCATTTCCCTTGTCCACTTGTTCAATGAGGTTACCATACTCTGCTCGCCATTTTCGGACCAATTGGATACTCAACATCTTATCTTTGCAGAAAGCAGTAAGATTTTGGCCCCAAGGGTCTCCCACGATTCCTTTCTTGTACTCCACAGAGTAGCTTTTTCTTTTTGTGCTCATTTCTAGGGGTAAAAAGAAGGAATTGGGGTATCAAGGTGGGGGGAGGGGGAATCACTTAAAATTACACAGGGGGGGATTAGAGGGGGGAATCAAAATGGCACAGGAGAATCAGAGGGGGGACTACCATTTTAGTAACCCCTTTTTTATCCTCCTGTGTCATTTTGATTGCCCCCTCTGATCCTCCTGTGTCATTTTAAGTGATCCCCCTCCCCCCACCCCTGTGCCACTGAACACCTTCACCAGACATCCCCCCTACGCCTTTATCAGACATTTACCCCCTGGGCCTGCCTGGGGACTGTCACTGGGCTTGCTGGGGCCTGGACCTGGGCTGGAGCAGGGTCTGCCACTGATTGAGAACCTTCAGTCATCATGAGGGGGGCCTCGCGCATCGGGTAGTGTCACCAGAGACAGACCAGCACTCACCACCTTCGCCACGTCCCGTCAGCTCTAATCCTCCTGTTCTTCTACACAGTCTGCGAAAGTCTCCTCCTCTCTCCCGCCCAGCGCTCACCACTCATTCCAATCTTCGCTCCGCCTCCACACAGCAGTAGCATCAGGACTCCGGGTAATGTCACTGGTTGCTAGACACCAGTCGGGGCGGCCCTAGCGACCAGTTTATGGTAAATTAATTTTCATTCTGAGACAGAGCCTAGGGGGGGGAGGGGGGCCTTATTTTCGGGGGGATGCCTTATATTTCACTCAGAAGGAAACCTGTAAGTAGGTCTTATTTTCGGAGGATGTTTTATTTTCGAGGAAACCTGGTATATATGTGTGTGTGTATATATACATATATCACAGATATATAAAATCATTATCAAAATTAAAGGAAAGTGGTTTCAGTCTTAAAATTGAACATTAAGTACTTTAAAAGGAATAAATAATATAGTAAAGGACTTACCTGCTCTTCTCTTTTTTGCTTACGAAGCTGCAGTCCTTCTTCTTCCCTCCTCCTGCGCATCTCATCAGGATTCAGGGACTTATTTTTATAACTTTTCAGGCGAAAGTTCTCTTTTCCTGGGGTAGTCATGATTTCTACAAAAATGAGAGTAAAGAAACAGATGAGCTTAGCTTACTGTAAAGACCTCTGCCCAGATTCACCCCATAAGGATACCAGAAATATAACACCTTTATTAAAGTACTAGAGACCCAGTGCATGAAATTTGTGCATTCAAGGGGAAGGAGGGTCCCTCAGCCCGGCCTACACCCTCTCGCAGCCTAGGAGTCCTCAGGGGATGTCCGACTGCCAACTTAGGCCCACTCCATGCCACCACCGTTACACTTACCAGCTGTGAGCCTGGCTTCTGGCTGAGTGGTAAGCCCCCTATGGAAGTACACTGACCACCAGGATGCCACCCCATACTCCACCTCACCCCTCCTGCTTCCCTCACTGCCATGCCACCATTATGGTGGGAGGGTGGCAGGTCAATTGGGACCTGCCAAGTGAAAGGAGGGACAGGGCACAAAAGGTCGGCTTGCAGCCCTCAGCCCTCCTGAGAAAGGGGCCACATCTACCGCCATCCATTCCCGGTTCCCCGTCCCAGCCCGGGGCCTGCCAGCCCAGGGGAGGGAGCATAGAAAGTGCTTTCTGTGGGAGTACACTGAAGGCTGGCTGTGGGAGTACAATGACCACCAGGGGGCAGCTCCAGCATTGAGCATCTGTCCCCTGGTGGTCAATATGCATCATAGTGTCTGGTCATTCCAGTCGTAATGGTTGCTTAGGCTTTTATAGATATATAGATACAATTCAATGGTTTTTAGCATATTCACAGCTAAATGCAATCATTGCCACAGTTAATGTTTAATTTTCATCACCAAAAAAGAAACCTGGTACCACTAGTTGTCATTTCTAGTCTGGACATCTCATATGAATCATATGTGTGATCTTTTATGGCTGGCTTATTTCACTGAGCATATTTTCAAGGTTCATCCATATTGCAACATGTATCAGTACTTTATTTCTTTTTGTGGCTAAATTATATCACACTGTATGGATATACCCCATTATATTTATCTCATTCTATTTTTTTGACTATTATGAATAATATTTATTTGTGGACAAGTTTTGGCATAGACACGTTTTCATCCCTCTTAGGTATATACCTAAGGATGGAAGTGCTAGGTCATATGGTAACTGTTTAATCATTTGAGGAACTGCCTAACTAGTTTTCCAAAATTAGAAAAACTAGTTAGGCAGTTTTACATTCCCACCAGCAGTATATAAAGGTTGACCATCCTGGTGAACACCTGCTATCAACTTTTTTTTTAACTCCCAGTGAGCTAGATGTCATTTCACATGGTTATTTCCCAAGAGTATATCCTCCATTTTAAAACTCTTTGCCCGTTTTATTTTATTTTTTTTTAAATATATTTTATTGATTTTTCACAGAGAGGAAGGGAGAGAGATAGAGAGCCAGAAACGTCGATGAGAGAGAAACATCGACCAGCTGCCTCTTGCACACCCCCTACTGGGGATGTGCCCGCAACCAAGGTACATGCCCTTGACCGGAATCGAACCTGGGACCTTTCAGTCCGCAGACCTACGCTCTACCACTGAGCCAAACCGGCTTCGGCACTCTTTGCCCATTTTAAAATTGGGTTGTCTTTTATCAGAGTTGTAAAAGTTATTTATATATTCTAGATAGAAGTCCTTTATCAGATATCATGATTTTAAAATATTTTCTTCCATTCTATCAATTGCCTTTTCACTTTTTTGGTGGTGTCCTTTGAAGCACAAAAATTCTTAATTTTGATAAAGTGTAAATATATATATATATATATATATATATATATATATATATATATAAAATATATTTTATTGATTTTGTACAGAGAGGAAGGGAGAGAGATACAGAGTTAGAAACATCGATGAGAGAGAGTTATCGATCAGCTTCCTCCTGCACACACCCTACTGGGGATATGCCCGCAACCAAGGTACATGCTCTTGACCGGAATCGAACCCGGGTCCCTTCAGTCCCCAAGCCGACGCTCTATCCATTGAGCCAAACCGGTCTCGGCTAATATATTTTTTCTTTTGTAGATCATACTTTTAGTATCTTAATTAGGGATTCTTAACCCTAAGTTTCCTTCTAAGAGTTTAAAGTTTTAGCTTACATTTAGGTCTGTCATCCATTTTGAGTTAATTTTTGTGTATGGTATAAGGTAAGGACCCAAATTCATTCTTTTGCATACAGCTACTCACGATGTTCTAGCATCATTTGTTGAAAAGACTATTCTGTGTTGAATAGTCTTGGCACACTTGTTGAAAATCAGTTGACCACAGATACACGGTTTTATTTCTCAACTCTTAATTTTATTCTATTGACCTGTATGTGTATTCTTGTGCCAATATCAGTCTTAACATTTTTGTAATAAATTTTTAAATCATGAAGTGTAAGTCCTCTTATTTTGTTCTTTTCAAGATTGTGTTGGCTTTTCTGGATAATTTATAATTCCACAAGAATTTTCTAATCCATTTGTCAATTTCTACCAAGAAATCAGCTAGGATTCTGACATGGACTGCACTGAATCTGTAAATCAATTTGGCAAATATTGTCACTTCAACCTTCAACAATGTTAAATCTACCAATCCACGAATATGAGATGTTTTCTATTTACTTAGATCATTTTTAAATTCTTTCAACAATGTGTCATAGTTTTCAGAGTGTTTCACACTTCTCATTAAAATGTATTCCTAGGTATTTTAACCATTTTGATGCTATCGTAAATGGAACTGTTCTCTTAATTTTCACTTTTGAATTGTTCATAGCAAGAAATACGATTTTTGTATATTGATTTTGTGTCCTGTAACCTTGTGCAACTTGCTAATTAGTTCTAATCTTTTAATAGATTCCTTAGGATTTTCCACATACAAGCTCATGTCATCTACCAGAGATAATTTTGCTTCTTTCTAATTTTTATCTTTTCATTCTTTTTCTTGAACAATTACCAGGTTTAGAATTTCCAATACAATGTCAAATAGAAGTACAGAGAGTAGACAAGCTTGTCTTAAGCCTAATCTTAGGGGCATAAACGTCTTTCACCATTAAGTATGATGTTACCTTTGGATTTTTCATAGATGTCCTTTATTATGTTGAGAAAGCTCCCTTCTATTCCTAGTTTTTGAGATTTTATCATTTCTGCATCTATTGCAATGATAATGTGGCTTTTGTTATTTTACTGACATATTATATTAAGAGGTTTGCATTTCTGGGATAAATTCCACTTGGCCATGATGTATAAATCTTTTCATATGCTGCTTAATTTAGTTTGAATTTTATGCTCTTATTGGTTTGCAGGTTTTTTTGTGTGTGTCATCTTTATTATTGGGGTAACACTAGCTTCATAAGTTGGGAAGTGTTTTCTATCAATTTTTGGGAAGTGTTTGTGAAGAAACAGTATTCTTCTTAAATGTTTGGTAGAATTCAGCAGTGAAATCACATGGACCTGGACATCTCTTTGCAGGTAATTTTATGATTAATTCAATCTCTTTATCTGTTATAGGTCCATTCAGATTGTCTATTTCCCGTTAATTTCAGTACTTTTTATCTTTTTTAAAAATTGTCTTTTTTTATCTAAGTTATGTAATTTATTGGTATACATTTGTTCACAGTATTCCTTTATAACCCTTTCAACTTTTATAAGGTTAATATCAATGTTTCCTCTTTTATTTCTGATTACAGTAATCTGTCATATTTCTTTTTTCCTGTCAACTTAGCTTTAAAATTTTCTTTTTAAAGTACCAGTTTTTGGTTTCCTTAATTTTCTCTATTGCTTTTAATTTTCTCTAGCTCATTAATTTCTACTCCATGCTTTCTTATATCCTTCCTTCTGATTTAGCTTTACTTTGCTCTATTTTTTCTAATGACTTAAGGTGGAAGGTTAAGTTATTAATTAAAGATCTTTATTTTTTTTTTAATACATTTTATTGATTTTTTACAGAGAGGGAGAGGGAGAGTTAGAAACATCGATGAGAATCATCAATCAGCTGCCTCTTGTACACCCCCTACTGGGGATGTGCCCGCAACCAAGGCACCTGCCCTTGACTGGAATCGAACCTGGGACCTTTCAGTCCGCAGGCCGATGCTCTATCCACTGAGCCAAACCGGTTTCGGCTAAAGATCTTTATTTTAATTTTTATTGATTTTAGAAATAGAGAGGGAGAAAAAGACGGAGAGGAGAAAAATAAACATTGATGTGACCAGTTGCCTCCTGTACACACTCGCCTGACGAAGGATGGAACCACAACCTGGGTATATGCCCTGACCAGGAATCGAACCCACCACCTCCTGATGTATGGATGATGCTCTGATTATGCCACAATAGCCAGGGAGTTTCTTCTTTGTTAATACAGGCATTTGTTGCTAGAAAATTCTAAGCACTGCTTTAGCTGTATCCCATAATTTTCTAATGTGGTAACTTCATTTTCATTTATCTCAAAGTATTTTTCTGATTGTACCTTTTTATATCTTTGATCGACTGTTTATTCAGAAGTATGTTCTTTAACTTTTACATATTTACTATTTCCCAAAATCTTTCTCTCTAATTTCTTTACATTGTAATCACAGGACATCCTTTGTATTATTTTAATCTTTTAAAATGTATTAGGGCTTGTTTTGCAGCCTAGAATATGGAATATTGTGGAAAATGTCCCATGTGTACTTAATACTCATGGTAGGCAAAACTAGGTTTACAGTTGTGAGTACATGAAACTAAGTTTGTTCTTGTATTATTTATTAATGATTATATTACAACTGTGAACCTATTTTTGTCCACCACCATATAGTTTGCTATTGCTGGGTAATCTAAAGATGTCTCCTGGATCTAGTTGGTTTATACAGTTATAACTCCTTTAGCTTTTTCTTATCTGTGAAGCTCTTTATCTGACCTTCAATTCTAAATGATATCTGACCTTCAATTCTAAATGCTGAGTAGAATAATCTTGGTTGTAGGTTCTTGCTATTCATCACTTTGAATATTTCTTGCCACTCCCATCTGGCCTACATAGTTTCTGTTGAGAAATCAGCTGACAATAG